GTTATTAGTTTGTAGTAGTTTCTTTTAATTAAAATTTAAGTTTTAAAAGATTAATATAAAAAAAAAACTGAATAAATGGCGCATAACTTGATATAATTGGCGGTCTCGTTCGATGGCGGCGGAATCGTTCGTATTTTTTGCATTGCAAAACATTTTTGCTTTTCAATCAGCATTTTCGACCGACCATTACGTCCGAATCAACAATTTTCAATAAATTAACAGTTGATTTCAAATTGCTCTTCGCACGATCAAAAGCATAACCTTTTTAAATTTAAATTTCTGATATCCCTTTATAGTACGACTAGCTGTCACCCCTGTCTCCGCCCGCGCGGAATAAAAAAATAACTTAATTAGTAGCCTATGTTTTCTTCCATATTATGTTCTACATCTATGCCGAATTTTAGTGAGATCCATGCAGCCGTGCTAGAGATATCTTCAAACAAACATCCATTCATCTAAATATTCGCATTCATAATATTAGTAAGATTAGAAATTTATGAATTTCATTTTACTTTTTTATATGGTTTACATAGAAAAAAGTAACTAAAGTCTTACATATTATAGTACAAAATTAACAGTTTCTTAAGAAATATTTAGGGACAATATTTACATAAAACTTTATTTCAATATTCCACGTAGATATATACTTCTGTTTCTGTTTGTGTGTGTGTGCACATATTTCTGTTTGTAGTATAAATGAGAAAGCCGTATTGGCTTCGGTTTATGAAGCAAACACATAAAATATGTATCCTTATTTAGCAAACATCGGTCGCGGCGATACGGCACTGATATTTAAATATACGTAGCGAAATACGAACAGATTTTGTGGCTTGTAAGATTACATACAACGCTTGCAAAAAATGATTTAAAGAAACTTTTAAATCTACTTAATTTCTATTTCGAATACACGATTTAAATATCGATCGATTTAAAAAGTATTATAAAAAAACAAAAGCGCGGAGAATGACACCGTAGTACACTAATTAAAAAAGCAACTATAAGTAATAAACTAAATAGAAGTGGAAACAATAGACCAGCCAACATATTTGGTAAAGTAAACAATATAAGTTGCAAATTGTAATTTGAAGTGCAAAATTTTCCATGTTTTAATATTTATTAGTTTAATTCACTATTTTATTAGCAAAATAAAAAAAAAATCTTAGTCGTAAGTAATTAAGATAAGTGCTCGCCTCTGAATGGGTATAAAAATCCTAAAAAATCCGACCTCTACGTGGAATAAAACGTAGTCATACTCGTATACTGCTTGAAATGGCTTGTAAAATGAAACATGCGGCCGGAGAAATACGAGAATACTGTAGCGAAAATACGTCATTTCGTACCGAATTCAAAATCAGAGGAAATTACATGACTGACGTAAACTTCGCGTTGGATTTTACCGAATACAGAAATTCTTAAGGGCTGGCCTACACGGACTGCTTCAAGCTGTGTTGGATGTGTATACGATATTACGAAATACAGAAATTCTTATAAGGTCTGCCACACACGGACGGCTTTAAGCTGTGTTGGATGTGCATACGATATTACGGAAAACAGAATTTCTTATAAGGGCTACCACACACGGACTGCTTCAAGCTGTGTTGGATGTGTATACGATATTACGGAAAACAGAAATTCTTATAAGGCATGCCACACACGGACGGCTTTAAGCTGTGATGGATGTGTATACGATATTACGGAAAACAGAAATTCTTATAAGGGCTGCCGCTCACGGACTGCTTCAAGCTGTGTTGGATGTGTAATCGATATTACGGAAAACAGAAATTCTTATAAGGGCTGCCCCACACGGACTGCTTCAAGCTGTGTTGGATGTGTATACGATATTACGGAATACAGAAATTCTTATAAGGGCTGCCGCACACGG